AAATTCGAGTTTTGCACTCACAGTTGAATGTTGGAAAGATGCAAATATTCTGTAAGGCTCAGGGAGAGGGCCTACACTTCAGTCCTACAGATGCAAACTTTCTGGGAAAAAGTGTATCTACAGAAAAAGGTCTTGGAAAATCAAATTCACCTCACTGTAAACTCTTGGTTAAGCAATGAGAGCTGAGTTACGTGTTGGGGCTGACGTTGCAGAAATGAAGGTAATTTTCTTTCAAAGCTTTCGTGCAACATAACATCTGAGTCACCTGAAAGTTTGAAATGTCATATACTGCACAACTTAAGTTTGGATTGAAAAAAAAGATTTCCTGTGACTTTCCAGAATTACTTGCTGTAATAAACATTTTGGGGTAAAAGAACAATTAGGTAACCTTCTTTTCAGTTTTTTCACACTGCTAACTATTCAGCTGAATTAAAGAGTGACTTCAGAAGCAGGAATGTTGTCTAGAAAAAACATTAATTGATTTTTATAATAGTAAAACTATAGAAATAATACCTGTGTGCAAGAACCTCCTTAACTTCAGCACAACTACAGGTCTCCATTATCACTTTGTCTTCTGTCTGCAATGTTGATTTAATACAGTTGCAAAAAGAGAAAGAGTTTGCACATCTTCACCAGAACTATTAGCAAAATTTAGTGCCATCAAATTATATGCAATTATGACATTAGATGAATGAGTGACATCTATTATTTATTGGTTGTACTGTAGTATTGCTGCTAGAGACCCTAAGGTGTGGATCTCTGACACAAGAGCTGCTCTTCAAAGTGCAAACAGTGCCAAGGCCCATGGCATCATTATGTAATATTTAAAAAGCTGAGTGACATATCAAAATATCAATTATAAATACATTTTAAAAAACCTTTTTGTCTAGCTTTGACAAACTGAAGCTCACTGTCTAAGAGCTAACAATACAAGATTCTGTTCTCCAGGAAATTCATTGCTCATGGAAAACAAGGCAGCTCTTGAAGCTACTGATATTTAATTTTATATCTTGAAAGTACGCAGAGCAAATCTTGTTTATACTATAAAAAGAAGGTGCCTCCCTTTCACAAAAATTTAGAACATGGAGTTTACCTTTGTTTAAAATTTCTAAGAAGTGATTTTGTATTAAATGCTAAACACTCACTTAAGGGGTACAGGATCAAAAGCTACGTTTGCTTTCATGTAACTACATCATGTAATGAGAATTCTAACACATGTTTAGAATAAGGGATACATGTTACCATGCAGTATTGTAATTAACATGCCCTGGAAAAGAGGGTCACAAAATGAAAGATACAGAAAAGCTATTTAAATTCTTATCTTCTGGACTGAGCAAATCCATGAAATGTCAGTCTTGAAGATTTTTCAGGCAAGACTCAACTCTGCAACAAAGTAGGAGTGATAACTTACATAATGAAGTGGACAGAATACGAAAACAAGACTAAAATAATTTGATGATCAAAAGATAAATAGCCCTCCTGCTCATGAGCTGGACTATTTTCAGTGTGGGGTTTTATGAATTCAGTTCTTGCTTGTCCCCTGCATCCTCTGTGCACACACAAACATTTGCTTCAATGGGAGTTGCAAGAGGCTCCCCACCTCCAGCTGGAGACCAGGCTTATAGGAATATATATATATGTACAGGAATATATATATTAGGAATACATATACTCCCCACTTGTCTTTATATGCTAAATGGAAGCCTGTGTTCTGTCTCAGCAAAGAAGTAGATGCTGCTCCGGAATCAGGAGATTCTGGCTCCTCTGCAGCTCCTTTCTGAGAAACAATGTTCAGAAAGATGCTCTTGAGAGTGAAAAAGAAATACAAACTCTGTTAGGTGAGCAGTAGCTGTTAAAGGAAGCCACATGGCCCATTTGGCATCTCTTTCTGGAACTGTTTCCATTCAGATATACTTAATGGTGTATGTCAGAGTAAATCCCATTTTGTTAGAGAGCAATGCAGTCAAGATCCAAAGGGGAAATATGGAGAGAAGCATGACTAAAAGCAGAGAGGCAGTTGGATAGGTGAACTCCAGACAGACTCTCTGAAAAGTCACATAAACCATCTATGTGATGCAGCGTGGCTTCTTGGCTTTTTTGTGCTGGCACCCAGATGTTGTCCTGCAGAGGAACTCACGGGAGCACCAAGAGGAAATGTACTGACCCAGGGGACATGATGGAGAGCAGAAAGCTCTCAAGAGCTCTTCCTCAAGGGAGGCCTCGGGGGCAGTCCCCGATACAGAAGGCTGAGGCTGTCTGAGGATGGGAAATGTGGCTCTCAGCCACCATGGTACAAATGGAGGGGTGTTCTCCAACCTCAGGAAACTTCCAGGCTCCTCAAGTTCAGTATTCCTCACTGAACTAACTCTGAGGTTGGAATCAGATGCTTTGATGAGCTGAGAGAGGGGCTCATGCAAGCTACGTCTGTGCAGTGCAAACACCTGAGACCCTGACTGTGGACCTCCCAGGAGGGGTTACTTATTAGGAGCATCTCCAGTCTGATCCACTGCACTGAGCACCCACTAATGGTCAGCACAGTTGTTGTGATTCTGGAGTTCACCTTCCACTTTATTTTCACTTGAAAAGAATTCCATCTACGTGCTCTGGGACCATGCTGCAAGGCCAAGTGCAGTGGTGAGGTAGGGATGACCAGGAGATGTTGTCCAGCTCTGTGCCCAGTGAGTTTCCCAAGGCTTGTTGTCTCAAACCTGTACAACACTGCAGGTCACACCCTTCGCACCCCGAGGTGAAGGCTTGGGCTTTGCCTGATGAGTGATTTCACTTTCTAGATTTCCTGTTTGGAAAATAATGTTGCAAGGCTGAGAATTACCAAAGAGGGTTAGTTTAAGTTCGTATTAGTATGTGGCCTTGATGTTATTCTCCAGAAAAAGTAGAAATAAGTGATCTGGAGGAATGGAATTTCACCCAGCTAACTCCCAGTGTTGCTGGGTTGGTTGCAGATTTAGGTATGGCCAGTTAGCACTGACTGCCAGACAGAGCCTGTGGGTAACAGAAAGGCTGCCTCAGCCTTAGTCTCTGGAACAGGTGGTTCCCACAGGCTGTAAAACCCATCACAGGGAAAAAACCCCAGCTTTCAGCAAAGATCTGAAACTACTGTCCTGTAGGATGTGAACTCTTATCTCACTTTCACTTAGTAACAGGATTAAGACACATCCACCATCCTATTACCATCACTTCTTTTGCATACATGGTTCTGGTTTTTAAGGATTTCTGTCCTCTGGCTTACCAAGGTGCTCCTTTCATCAGCTCCAATTTAAGTGTTTAATATTAATCTTTACTTAAAGTGAAAGAAGTAGATGACTTAAACTGACAGAGCTTAAAAGCAAAAGCAATAAATAACAGATAAAACTTCTAAGTTTCTCCACAATAAACACTTTGTACTGCTGTTAACTTGTGGAGTCTAAACACAAATTGAGGTATCCAAGCACAGAGAAAGCTGCAGTTTAATCTATGTGAGGCTCTTGTCTGCTTTAAACCAAGGTTAGAACTAGAAAGGGTAAGATAGAAATGAGAAACTGAGATTATCAACAACAATGTTGTAGCTTCATTTTCTACTACACTGATATGGTGAATATACTAGAAAATGGGATCTGGGTTTGTATTTCCTCCTAGTCTTGTCCAGCAGGACATTAAATAATAGCATTTGCAGTCTAATCTGCACTTTGATACGTTTTCTTCACTTGCTTAATTTCATTAATGGAAAGAGGAGGATGATCTTGTTGCGAGGTCAGAGTACTGGAAGTCAGGTGATGTGGGTTATATTCAGAGTTCTGCCGCAGGCTTCCTGTGCAGGCTGCTGTAATCAGGTTTGCTAATATACAAAATGAAGATAATGACATTTCCCCTCCTTGCCAGGGTGTTGTGACACTTAATTCATTAATGTTTGTAAAGTGCCCTGTGCTCCTTGCTTCTAAATGTGCTCCTTACTGTAATAATGTCTTATGGATGGTATTAAATTTGAGAATAATATTATTTTAGTACCTGCACATTTCAGTTGGCTGAAGTGTAGTAAAAACCATTATTTTATGAGCTACTGGAATTTTTTAGATGACTTACTTGAAATTTAGCTAATACAGTTACATTTATAAAACATACTATGTCAGTATTATGCCTGCTTCAGATTTTTTTTGTCCTTTTCACTGTGATGAAGTATTTAGCAATAAGCAAGACTGCTTTGTTCAGACTAAAAGGAGAAAGAAAGAGTTTGGCATAAATACTGTCACTGCTTGACTTCTAGCTCTGCTATTGAGGCTGCTCTCTACCCTGGTGAATCACAGGGTAGAGCTCTATGTCCCAGTCCAAACTGCACAGAAAAATTGAGGAAGACAAGCAGTAAAAAAATATCTGGGGTTATGAAAACAGGGAGTTTTGGTATTTACCTAAATTGTAGCAGTGCTACAGGACCAAGCAACAGTATAATTTATGTAGTACAGTTAAAAATAAAACAAAATATAGTTAACTTAAAAAATCTCCAAAGGTTTGGCAATGCAACTCCCAATACATTCACTATCAATCACATGGCTAAATTTCTACATAGCACAGGAAAACAACTCAGCTAAAACGTTCTTAATGTGCAACACAGTCCGTCTGCTAAAGCAGAGAGAATTAGTGAATAGGAGTGAAAGTAGAATAAACTGCTGAGTTTTTAACAAACAGAAGAGTATTGACAACATCCATTGTGCATATCTGAGTTTTTCAGAATGTGCTAATTCACTGAAATTCTGCAGCTCTATGAAATCTAATGCTGATCAGACAATTGTAATACATAAAGCTATCTGGTTTTTATAGCCAGTGATAATTACAGCGGGTGAAGAAAGGAATTACAAACTTACCGGCAAGAGGAGCAGCTCATTCAGGGCTGGGAAATGTCAGGAGCCACCACGCTGCTGGTACAGCACAGGGTAAAAGAGAACATGTCCCCTCACAAGCACTGTCCAACATTAGATTAGTAGGAAGAAAGGAAAGCAGCTGACACTTACTATCAATATAAAAGTTCCCAGGAACTCTGAGAGAGCTTCTTTAACCAAGCTGTTCTTCAAGGCAAATTTCTCCTTTAAACTCCTTTTGCTTTTCTGGCTCATTTTGGCTTCCTCTGTTGTTCTGGTGCCCTAGTTACAAACACACACAAAATTTGCTCTGTATTCGTCCCTGCTCCAGCTGAACTTTGACACTTTTACTTAAACATTGAAATATGAGATTTCATCTGTACAGCCAGTGAAATCATCTGACTGCAGGCATTGAGAGAACCAACTCAACATGCCCTAACAATTCATCATGGCTTTGCCATTCTCTGCCTCCTCTGAGTACACTTCTATTTATACTCATTAGATAATACCCGTGAGTTCAAAATCAGAACTCTTTTCTTACAGAATGGATTAATCATTACCTTTCAGGCTATGTTACTTTTTTTTTTAAATCTTGGTAAAAATGAATAAAATGTTATTTTTATCATCCTGATCAAAAAGAAAGGCAAAAAGATAAACCACAAATAAGGAACCAAAATAGAGTTGCAAATTTCTCTCTGACCTAGATTGAGATTTAAACCATGCTACTATTGGCTGTCCAAGGTTCCAAGGGGAGGTTATAAAAGAGGGTGAATGCTTGGGAGAATGCTGTGCTGTACCCTGTACACAAAAGCTCCTATCTTGTCACCTCTGAGAGATTTCAGTGGCTAATGAGGAATCTTACCTTGGTGTAGTGTGTTGAATTTGCATTTCACTCACAATACTCTTTTTGGACTAAATGTCTTGCTCTCTAGTGAACTCCCCTGTTTACATAAGAGCAACGAGGCAGAATAAATTAGGAACATTTAATGAAATTTGCTTCGGTCCAGTGGCTCCCTATAATGCAGTAAAGGCAAGTGAGGGACTATATATCTCCAATTTGTTTAGCTTAAAAGTGCATAGGTGTTACAATATGAATCATCATAATAATAATACTTTCCATGGTCTTAAGACAAGAAGTTGCTGAATATCTCAAAGAATTGAGGCTCCTAGAGAAAAATATTACACTTTTATCTCTTAAGCATCTTGAAGGGTTTTATCAGATGGGATACTGACCTGACGCTGCCTGGTTGATTTACAAGTATCTTCTGTCATTTGACTTGACACCAAAACCTTAGCCCAGTTCTGGTGGATTATTTGGGCATGTGTTGTAGATGCTCAGTGCCTTGGTTTGCATCTGTCCTAAACAGGGCAGAGCTTTACAATTTGGGCAAATGAGTCACTTCTGTTATCCCCCCAGTGCTCTTCCCTTCCTCCAACCAGGACCTGATGCATGTTCCCTCCCCTTACAACCACCAGGTTCATCCCTTAACCACTCAGTTCACCCCCAAAACCCAGTTTTAATCCTTAACTGATTTTCTCTGTCCTTTTACTTACCTTTCTCTACCTGTGCATCCAAACACCACTTTGCCTTTAGCTGTTTCAGCAAACCCTGGCCTGTGGAGCACCACGGAGCTGGTGAATCATGAGATGACTCTGAGCCAGGTGAGCTGCAGGTCCTGCTTTACAGGGCCTGCCTGTGGCACAGCCAGCTGGGAGCTGCCTCTAAGAAGCCCCTGAAAATGGCCTGTGTATGGCAGTTGGAAAACCTTTACCCTACACCACTGAGAAAAGATATTATTCAGGACCTTAATTATCACAGCATGCTAAAGTATATGTTTGTTATGTCTCTGAGAGAAGTCAGAATTATGTACACAGTAGAGCTGAGGGTGCTAGGGAGGCCATTCATTAGGGCAGGAATATGATAAACCACTTCCTCTCTTCCAGGAAAATGATAAATAAACATGTTAGGAAAGCAATTTTTAGTTATTTAGTTTTTTCTTTCTCTTGTGCAGATGCAAGTCTCACTCACAAAGAAGTATGTGAGTACCTCTGAGTTTAGTCTCATAACAGGGGTTAAGACATTAATGCTATTTTTCAACTAATTGTAAGGCAATAACATGTCAGATACAGAAATTCCTACTCATTTGTCCAGGTCACGTTGCCTTCCTTATAACAATTTTCTCTCTTTACAGAGTGGAGAACTGGAACAAATGCAGTTATTTCGCATTTGCTTTTTTTCAGATTGTCTTCAATACTTTATAGAAATCGTGCTATTTAACCCCATTATTAAGAACTGTGATGATAAGTTAGACCAAAGGTCCTCCTCAGCTCCATGACGACATTCAAGCAGATGCTCTAAGAAAGTACTGAAGAACAGAGTACACCAGGGATGATGGATCCCATGGGAAATCCTTCCTTGCTTTTGGCAGTTGGCAATTTAAAGTCACTGCCACACTTTTCAAAGAGAAAAGGGGGCAGCAGAGAACACTTGAACTAAGTTTCTCCTTTTATTGTATTGAGAAGGACATTCTAAAGACATTTCCCAAATCTAACAAATACGTATGTAGCAATACAAGAAAGACAAGTAAAATGTAAAGAATAAACACCAGGAAAGCTTTGACCTTAATTCCTAACCAATTTGATTAATCCTCTGTTTTACTGCCTCTTAGTCACATGCAGTGGACCACCTGGTTGGACAATGGAAAGAAAATACTCTGTGGTTACTGTTTCCTACTGCTCCCAGGGTTATAATGACAAGGATACTGGCAGTGCCACCCATAAATATTGACAACTGTGGTATCTGAGGGAAAAAAATGCAGAGCTCCTCCAAAAATGGAAGCTATATATGAGTTAGGAACATACATATTAAATGTAGAACCACAACAGAGCTCACCAAAAAGATTTTAAGGTTTTGCCAAGAATGTGGAAGTAACAGTATAAATGTTTTCAAATTCCATTACCAGAGGAGCCCTGCAAGAGAGTAAGTAAAACTACAGAGGGTGAAAGGTAGAAGCAGGATCCAGGGTTACTGACTCCACAGCTGAAAGAATTATTTGCCTTGCTAAAGAACCAAACATGGTGGGCTGAGTGTGAGGAACTGTCCTAAAATAAATTGCCAGTAGGAAACACCTCAAGAGAAATTTTAAGTTAAAGAGTAACTAATTGCTGGAGCTGCACAGTGTTTCCACCAAGGGATTAAAATGTTCAGCTTCTCAAGTGCTAGTGCCAGTGGGTTGTTTTTTGCTCAACCTGATCCTCATGCCAGCAGAACAGAACATAGGAAATGTACCAGTGATCCACAGATCTTTCAAGAGCGTCCTCCAAAGGTGACCATGGGAACTACAAAACCGTCAATATGACTTCTGTGCCAGGAAAATTAGATGAACTGCTGTAAAAAATAAAATCAATAGACACACAGATATAGCTCATGCTCTGGAGAAGCATCAAATGGATTCTGTTAAGGGAGGTTGTGCCTCACAAATCTATTGACATTCTTTAAAGACTTCAAAAAGCACATTGATATTATTGTTCGTTCTTGAATGTGTGATCAGTGTAACTTTAGATTGCAAGACTAAGACTCTTGGGACCCTTACCCCCAAGGCAGTCTGCACTCAACTTTCTTCTCTTCACCTGGATTCAAGCAGATCAGGAATTCACATGGTGTATATAACTTAACCATTTTTATAGTAATCTTCACTCCTATACAAATAGCAAAGTAGAGAATAATACACATAGCTCCCACAGTTTAAATCCCATGGGTAACAGTATATACTGTACTGAATTTTTAATAGCACATTATTCAGAGTATCACATAAATTGTTATTACTGATGTAATAAAACCTAAACCAACACAGCTGGAGAGACTAAGGCTATAAATACACCATATATTTTTTGTATTGCAATAATATGGGCCAAATTATTTTAAAGTCTGCTGATTTTAGTTGAATTAGACAAACTCTGAATGTGTATCTCTACTATAATTCATGTCCCTCGTCAAATGCCTCTGCCTAATTTATATTTCAATTTTCATATAGAAACTGCTGCATGGTCCTTAAAGGATGTTCTCTGTTTTACAGATTGATTCTGCTGCCGGGGAACTCAAAGAAAAAAAAATCCAGGTGAGGAAGATATGAAGACACTAATTCAGCATTCTAAGCTTTTCTGCATACACAACCTCCCTATTTCTTTAGGTCTTGTGTTTTCTGATCAGCCCTCTGTCTCTGCTGTAGTCTCTGGTGAAAAAGTGCTCAACAAGGGAAATGTTTGCAGTGTGCAGCTCTGGTTTAGCTAAGCCCACCTTGGAGGAGGGGCAGGGCACACGAGGGGACCCTTTGAGAATTTGTTCTTTCTTCTCTGTTTCTGTGATCTCAGTGTCCAGATAAAACATTTCAGATCATGAATATGAGATCAAAACCACACCACATATGTGTTTTTTAAGCTTTTTGCTGGTAATATTTAAGGCCTGATTGAAAGCTTGTTGAAGTCTGCTGTTGCTGACAGCTGACTGGGAGCTGGTAAATGTTGCCCTGATTTTCAAGAAGGACAAGGAGGAGAACCCCTGAAACTATGGGCCTGTCACTCTCATTTCAGTGCCTGGTAAAGTTATGGAGAAGATTATTCTGGAAGGTATTGAAAAACACCTGAAAGGCAACGCAGTCACTGGTCACAGCCAGCACGGCTTCAGGAGAGGAAAGTCCTGCTTATCAAACCTGATTTTCTTCTGTGACAAGGTAACCTGCCTTAGCTGATCAAGGGAAGCCAGTTGATGTAATCTTTCTGGATTTCAGTAAAGCTTTCCATATTGCCTCTCACAGGATCCTTCTGGACAAAATGTCCAGCCCACAGCTGGATAAACACATCATGGGGTGAGTGAGCAATTGGCTCATGGGTCAAGCACAGAGGGTGACAGTGACTGGGTCTCTGTCTGACAGTGAGTGGTGACCTGTCACTAGTGGGGTTCCACAGGGCTCCATCTTGGTCCCTGTGCTCTAAAACATCTTCATAAATTACTTGGATGCATGACTGGAAGGGACACTGAGCAAGTTTGCAGGTGACCCAAAACTGGGAGGAGCTGTTGAGTTCCTGGAAGGCAGGGAGGCCCTGCAGGGAGACCTCAACAAATGAGAGGGCTGGGAATCACCAACCACAGGGAGTTCAACAAGGGAAAGTGCTGGATTCTGCACCTGGGATGGGGCAACCCCAGTTGTACAGACAGACTGGGAATGAGATGTTGGAAAGCAGTGCTGGGAAAGGGCCCTGGGTGTCCTGGTCCATGGCCAGTTGGACATGAGTCAGCAGTGCCCTGGCAGCCAGGAGGGACAACCCTGTCCTGGGGGCATCAGGCACAGCATCACCAGCCAGGCAAGGGAGGGGATTGTCCTGCTCTGCTCTGGGGCAGCCTCACCTGGAATATTGGGGCAGTCTTGGGCACCACAATATAGGAAAGATATTAAGCTGTTAGAGAGTGTCCAAAGGAGGGACACAGAGATGGTGAAGGGCCTTGAGGGGAAACTGTGTGAGGAGTGGCTGAGGAAACAGAGTCTGTTCAGCCTGGAGAGGGAGAGAAGAGGCAGGCACTGATCTCTTCTCTTTGGTGGGCAGTCACAGGACCCCAGGGAATGGCCTGAAGTTGTGTCAGGGGAGGTTTAGGGTGGATATTAGAAAAAGGTACTTCACCCAGAGGGTGGTTGGGCACTGACCAGGCTCCCCAGGGCAGTGGGCACAGCACCAAGGCTGAGAGAGCTCAAGAGGTGTTTGGACAATACTCTCAGGCACACGGTGTGACCCTGGGGATGGGCCTGTGCAGGACCAGGAGCTGGACTCGATGATCCTTGTGGGTCCCTTCCAACTTGGCATATTCTGTGATTCTGTGATTTCAGGGAGAATTAGATTGGACTTTCTCTAAAGCACAATTGCAAGACTTTGCTGTGTTCTTGTCTGGCTGGGCACACCATTAGGCCTCAGTGCATAACTGATGTCACTACACATAACTATATTATATATAGTTATATAACCCATGATAGTAAATTTTAAAATTTGTTGTACAGACATGTCTACGTATAAAATAGGCCCTGAGAGTTTCTGAATTTTGCTTTTAAGGTATAGAATTTAGTACAGAAAATGCTTTGTTGCAGCCAATTCCCTGCTCTTTTCTTCTGCATATTCCCTTTTCTCAAATAGCTTTGCTATTAAAAACAAAAGATATCTTGGCAAATATATGTATGCAGAATGAAGAAAACCTCAAAGTATATCCAGTGGGCTTTGCAGGGATCTAAAGACTGTGTTTTCTTAACCTGAATGGGTTACATTATCAAAACCTTTCATCTTTCTACAGAGCACAGATTCCCTATAGCAATAGACACCCTGAGATTTATTAAGGCTACCTGTAGGACTGGGAAGAGCAGGAGATCTGAGCCTACCTAATGGATAAAAGAAATGCAGCATGAAAGCCAATGGTGGTGACAGAGTTGACTCTACTGACACAGGAAAGCAAAGCTGCATGTTTGGCAGACAGATGGAGCAAACTGGGACAGTGGATTCATGGCTCTGAAACCCAATTTCCATGGGGAAAGGGACAGTGTTTCCTGTGCCTGGCTCCCCAGCCCACCTGCCTTCCCCCATCTCCCACTCTGGTGGCCCTCCAGGGATGCCACACAGCCACAGTCTGGTGGAAATTCTATCCTGAAAGAGCTGCTGTTCCTGGGGCTTTGTCCCCTCTCCCCCACAAGGGTTTGTTTTGCTTCCACACTCCACTCATCCCTCACCCTTTGGTAGGTGAGCTGCCAGCCTGCCTGGGTTTCATTCTTTTCATTCCCTTTCATTCAGAATTACTCACATTTGAACGTTTAAATCCTCTGTCTTTCCAGAAACATAAGTTTTGCTTCTGGGATTCCTTTTATGTATTAAATATTAACAATAGAGATGATAAATTTATCTCAGGCTCCTGTATGAGAATATTAGATTGCCAGGCCCAGTTCTTTTGAAACTCCACAATCAAGACTTTTTAGTAAAAAAAAAAGTGTTCTGAGATTCACAGCTGACCCTTTATAAGGTGTACTTAACAGCAGAGCCAGCAGCAAACTCTTGTTACTTCTTTGTGATATCTATGTTCATTGAGGTAATGAAGCTATTAATTGAATATGTAAGTTCAGGTAATTAAATATAAGACTTATTTCTTCAGTTTAAAGGGTAATAATAAAAAATTTAAACTTGCAAACTAGATCACACTTTTAGTGATGATGAATGCGACCTGGAAAGTGCAATATTCCAATATGAATTAGTTAATTGCATCCATTCATTAGGTGATATACATTAGCAGAAGGTCAAACCATTTGAGGCTTGATGTGTTTTACAAATAATAAATTCAAACAGGTAAATTGAAATGAAATTCAAAATAGGATGGGTTTTTATATATTTAAAATCAGAATAAAATCTACAAGGAAGAGCACATTCCCCATAACCTCACAATTCCCAGCACATGTTCTTCACATCACTGTCCTGAGGTCACTCTGTGGCTGCCACAGCAGCCCAGTGAGGGACAGTGACATTTCAGCTGGTGCCTTACACTAGAACACTCATTTTTGAACCTGACCCAGTTCTAAAGTGAGCCAAACACTGAGTCTTTTCAAGCATTTCCTGCATTAGCACTCTCATTGAATTATTTGTAGCTTGTTTAAATCCTTAAATTTGAGTCTCAGTTTTGGATTAAATTTACCATAACTTTACCAACAATTGGTAAATTTACCAACTGTATCAGGTGGCTATTGCTTGAATAAATTATTCTGACCTTTAGGCTTCTTCCTTTTGCAAATTTTGTAAATTTATCAACCGCTAATTTACCAGCAATTAACAGTTCTACTGGGTACAAAATGGCCAATATCACATGTAAAATCTGATCTGTCTGACTCATTTTACTAAAAGCTATCCATTTGACTCATTTTTAGCAAAAAAAAGTTAAATCAAGTTTTCTTCATTAGCCATTTCTGGATTTTCAGTAACAAAATGGTCATTCTTGACATCAGCATTTCTGTTTGGGGTTTTTTACATTAAGATTAATGTAGAAATAAGGGAAGTAAAAGTAGATTTTATTTGGTTTCTTTAGAACTTAAAATATTAATAATAATTTAATAATCAGTCTAGATATAAGATTTATAATATTAAAAATTAAATCCCTGGGATATTTGAAAAATTCTGAAATAATATTTTACAGGATCATCATAGTACTGTGGGTGTTGCTTCACAGATAATATTGCTTGTGTGTATAACAATACCTTTTTACCTTATATGTATAAAATACCTTTGTCTGGAGCAAGGACTGAGACCGTCCTGCACACACACCAAGGGCCATAATTCTTGAAGAGGTTTCAAACAGTGAGCCTCTTTCAATGGTCAGGCATGGAGACATTTAGAGAATTGATTCAATTAACCTAGAGGAAAAAAGTGCCGTAATGTGTGATTTATGTCTGCAGATAAATTAAAATACAAGTATCTCCTGAAGAGCATTTGCTGCCATCATGGTCAGTAATGAAAATAGCAGGCAATTAAAATAGGACACCTGAGGCTGAAGCTTTTACTCTATATGTCAGAAAATGAAGTTCAGATTTCCTAAGTGGAAGTCTGAGCTGAAAAATAACTTGTGGAAGTTCCTTTCCAATCCTTGTTTTATTTCCGAAAGTCATTTCTAAAGCACACAAGAAATAGGAAGAGGCATTTAGTGGAACAGGAGGCAAAGGGTACAGAGGAGTAGGCTCTCTCAATCAATACTGAATTGATATGAGGAACCAGGGTTATCCCTGCTAAATGGTAGTGGGACATCTGAGAGAAAAATAAACATAAAAGAACTTATCGGTCATATTGAAATAATTTTGAGGTAGATTTTGCAGTTGATCTTGAAAGGAATCGTTGGAAGTGATGTGAATTGATGGAAGGGATGTGATAGAACGATGTGATTCAGTTGCTTCATGTGTGTGCCAGTGCTTAGAGTCTGGAGCTCACTAAGGAGCATAAGAAATATTCAGGGATTAGAAGCATCAAGGATGAAGGGTTCTTGGCTGGAGTGTTGTTGGAGTTGCTGTATCCACTGCCCATTTCAGTCCTGTATCCATATGAGTTTTGGCACAGCTACTCTGCCCAAAAGAGGTATTTGAGATACAAATAGTTTCACCCACTCTAGTTTTCTGACTTCCTTTAGACAAAAGGGACACAGAGTAGAGCAGAAAAATACTGGTACTCTGACTGAGAAACCCAGAAATGCCTTAATTACATCTGTATTGTGTCCAACAGTGCAGCTCTGCTTTTTGCACCCTCTCTGGCTACCACAGGTCCTGTTTCCACCAGATGGTGTTTGTGTAAGCCAGGTCTATATCCTTGTCCATAAATAATACCAGCTGCTCGGGGTGGGTGGAGAAATTGAGACTTCTAAATGAAACAAAGGTATATCTTCAAATTATATGTTCATATTGCTCTGAATATAAAAATAAAACCCTTCAGGAATGATTTTGTTGTTGGCTAGCCTAAATTCTAACACTGAAGCAAGAAAAAGTCACTTGGTTGTTCTTCATCTTTTTTGACAGCCATTTCTTCACAAAGTGTGAAGACTTTGGCATTGCAATCTGAAACAGAAC